GCCGGGGGGGGGGGGGGGGGGACGCCGTCGGGGCCGGCTGTGCGGGCCCCAACGATCGTTACTGCCTAGAACAACTGCCTGAAGTTTCACCTCATAAAGCCAGTATCAATTCAGATTTTTGACATTCCAGTGCCGTACTCTAACTTTATTGGATCCTATAGACTTTTTTTCATTCTCTCTACAAAATAAAGTATTTTCTTGATAAAAAATTTCAATTAGTAACAAAGAATAGTTTGTATCTCATTATAACTTTTTAACTTTTTTATTTTTTTATATAACGTCATAGAAACTCATGCCACACTTACACGAAAGAACCACATTCAGTGTAACATTTATTTCTGTACTCGACAAGCAACCAAATTTGCGCGTTTGAACGTTTGAGGGTAAAAGCAATGTATTTTACTGCCAGTGAAATGATTAATAAACACAATTAGTCACCAGTCTGTCAACAGCCAGGGTGTATCGGTGATTGTTCAGTGGCGCCATCGTCGCCCATTGAACGATTGGCGAAACAATCTCCCCCACTATAGCAACAACGTAGGGAAGCCAACTCTGCTCGACTGCGCGGAAACCGTCGCATAAGTCTGTCCTTTTTGCACTTGCGGTTGTACTCTTTTACGGCACCTCCTTGTCATATCTATGTTTAATTTAAGGGGTCACTGGTTTCGGTCGGTAGGATACAAATTACGGTAAATGGGATACCAATGTCATGTGCTATCTAGGCATTGTACCACAAATTTCATATAATAAAAATGATGTTTCTATATTTCGAAAATACTTATACTCTATTATTAAGAGCGATAAGAATTAACAAAACGACTTATTATATAAAAGAATTGTCTTATAAAATAAATGTTAAATCTATTGAGAAATGTTCCCAGTTATACGTATTTTTCACAGTCTTATGGTTTCCACAATTTTAAAAGCCCATCTTCACTATAAGAGCATAAAAGGTTTTGATGAGGATGATGTGTCAATCCTATTACGTCTTTTTCGTGTATCTAGAACAAAAAATTATAATATAATTACATTACAATACTCAAAAAATACCATTCAAAAACATGATTATCTGTACAGAAGAGAGGATTTCATGAAATACAGACCATGGACAATTTCATCTTTCGAATTCTTAAACTAAATCACTTTGAGAGCGCCCACATCTAACTTATGCAACATTATAATCTGTTTCATTTTACATAATATTAAAAATCTGTGCACATCTGTAAGACAGAGCAAAATTTCTCGTTGAAGTCTCTCGGCCTATCAAACAGATATCCAGAGACATGCGTAGACTGCTCAGCAGTATGTCGGATACTGTAAGGTTAACAACAATAGACTTGCATACAACCACGACCTAAGTATACTTTACTACACAATTGAGTTATACTGATGATATCTCGGGTCTCATGTATGACTTAGGTCTCAGCAAAAATACATCTTTTCGGGGAGCTTATACATTAGTTATATACAGAATGACCTTAGGCCCTTAGTAACTAAATGAGATGAAAACTGAAGTTTATATAAATCCAAACTTTGAAATAGAAAGCGAAGCGGTGCCGAATACGACATTTGGGAACTGCGGCTAATTTCAAGACTAACAGATAGTTAATCATCCAACACATTAAAGGATAGATAAAATAAAAAAATTATTAATTCATTCTTATTACTACAAGATAAATAATAGTAAATGAAAATTTGTACGAGTAGATATAACAGTCACATAATGTTCAGTGGAGGAGTGTAGGGCGAAGGAAATGGAAGAGAAAAATTTCCTGAGGGAATGGAGAAAAGGAAAGATTGAAAAACAGGAATACAAGGATGTAAAGATATCTGCGAGGCCAAGAGAAGGGAAGGAAGAGAAAGATTTACAAGGGAAGCGCCGCTCTTCAGACAGGAATTGTACACGTCTAGAAATATTTCCGGGCGCGCCTTGATCGCTGTCATTAAAACGATGTACGGGATAGCGTCGGACGCAGGTACCTCCCTATCCCTTATCTCCCTACAGGCCTTAAGCAACTGCTCGTTGATGACAGATGGTGTCCTCCTCGTTTCTTGATGCTGGTTCCTACGCGCCGCAGGTGGCTCCCAGTTGTCGTGGAAATAGTGTAGCGACTATCTTGCGCAGTACATCGGAGCAGGTCGGCGGCGGCATGATAAAACCTTTAAGCCTAGCCATGACCGTGCGGCACGGTCTACCCCAAGGGTCGCTATTCACCTCGCTCCATAAATTCCTCCAGCTTCGATGCTTGCTCGCCTTGATGGCTGGACATAGTTTAGTTTAGTTTGGAACATGGTCACCCGGGAGGCCTTTCCGGGGCTTTGGTACCTCTCCAAGGCCACAGGCACGGCTCATGCGCACTATCTTTCACAAAGCCCCGCTATTGGGGACCTAGCCCCTAGGTGGCAATGGCTGGACCTAGTGATTAGTGATTACTTGCACAGGGTCTCCCAGGAGAGAAGGTCGGCACCTCCACCAAGGTCGAAGGCATGGCTTACGAGTGCACTAGCTTTCGCAAAGCCCGTAAGGCTAGGGTCGACATTACTCGGGGAGCTTTTTACCCCGATTTTGCAACCGATCCAATTTTTTTAGACCCGGGCCGCATGAAGATGGCTGGACCTAACCCAGACCACTTTCCTTTTCGCCGCTTTATACTGCTGTAGGAGCTGCTAGTGTTGGGGGTTTTCCCCTTGCGCATTTACACAACTTTTTAGAGCGCTGGCATTTCTTCCGAAGTTCCGCCAACTTGTCGTTCCACTAGTAGACCGGTGGACGCTAGCGGTTTGCAGGAATTTTAGGCATAACCACGTCAGAAGCCCTGATGGAGTGTGCCATCAACTGGTGAGCCTTGTCCTCCGGTGTTCCCACAAGCTTTCTCTCGTCCTCCATTACTACTAGGGACATGTCCTCGTCGAACGCTCCCGTCTTCCACCTCCTGACTACAGAGGTTCTTGATGGCCGGCCTCTGCGCTTAGGTCCGCACACCTCACACATTATGGCCTGTATGTATCGCAGACCTACCACGTGGTGTCTGTGGTGACAAGGCATTCACTGGCGATGGTGATATTGACTATCGATGACCTATCTGCTTTGCAGAATATAGACCAGATTCCTGTGTTAAGCAGGATAACACTGTGAAGGACTCGAGTAGGATCTCAGCTCTTTTGTTCGTCCGTCAACTACCCCTCGGTTGCCCATGCGTTGAAGTTTCCGACGACGATCAAGGAAGTTTGGCTTCTCGCCGCGTTAATTAATGTGTCGATCAGATTTTCGAACTCGCTGATCGACGCACTTGGTGGGACATGACAGCTAAAGATGTATATGCCCCCATCTTTACCCAAGTACACGCGCAGCCCTGCGATTTTTCTTGCATTCTCGACTGGATGGAATGTCTTCCGCAAGTCCAAACGGCAGCCCAGCATGTGGTGTCCGAGTCGATGTCGCTGTACTGTTCGCAAACGACGACGAGATCGATCTATTGATCCCGAACGGTAGGTTCGTAGGTCTCACGCTGCCTCGCAGTAATTGAGGTTTAGCTGCAGTAGCCTCATTTTCTAATGTTAGCCTTTTCCGCCTCCCATGCACTCCGGAATACCTGGCATTTGCTACTACCGATAGTGTGGTCGGTAGCTTGTGAGCCTTTTTCCCGGCATAGCATGCACGCAGAATCCTTTGAATAGGATCAGACGATGTGCCCTTCCTCTCCGCGCTGGAGGCGTCTTTTGGATCGATCCTCTCTCGTGCAGTTGCTGCCCATATGCCCATAACTAAGGAATGGAAAGCATCGCACTAGGGTACTGGCCTTCTTTTTCCGAACGCGGCTGTAGACCCATCCGAACCGCAACTTCTACATGCTCATAGCCCAGGAGGCAATTCTGGCTGGTAGTGCAACCACCAGTTGCATCACTTCTGTTAACTCTTTATACTTTAATTGTGTCGTTTTATGCAACACATTTATAATCCTTGCATTTCTTATGAATCATGCTAATAAACAATATTTAAAAAATGCTGCAGTATCATTTAAAAAACAAAAGGTATGTTAGCAATATTAGTCCGAGGCCTCTTATTTTTAAAAGAATTACGCTCTTTCGAGGTTCTGGGGTAAGTGCCGTCCGGTCCCTCGCAGTCCTCTTGCCAAAGGCATCGCTGCCTTCCCCACTCCGTGGCCAGATTCTCTAGGAAGAATTTCCTTATTTTTAAAGCAATGCAACGTCGGGCTGCTGCCATCTCTAACTATCACTCATCTGTTTCACATAAACAACCCTCTTCGTCGCTGACAGCCGAAGGACCCAGCGTGGTCTTCCGCCACCATGCAACGCCAGGTCTGTTTAGTCTCAAGCACCCTCTTCCACGACCGCACGTATTCTAGAAACCCTAGTCCATAAATTCTCCAACGGTCAGTGAGCGACAGTCATCCGCCTTCGACTCCACTTAAAACTTGTTGACGCTAACAGGTAACATTCATATTCCCGAAAAAAATCTTATTTACGAAAATTGTGCACATTTAAAGATAGTTCAAGTTTTGCTTAAGACATTTTTTTGTAGAGCTCAAGGAAGACCCTGAAATTTCGAGGCAACACATACGTGAACACCCTGTATGTATTTCAAGCAGCTATAAAATGAACAATTTCACAAATTTATGACACAGGGACGTATAAGTTTTACAGCTGTAAGGTGCCATGCAATAAAGCGGAAAAGGCTGTCGATTTTATTACAAAGGTACCTATAAATGAAAATTCTGTTTATATTTCTAATATTTGAAAGAACTTTAAGTTTTCGTCGGTTGTTGTCAACAGTAAAAAAGTCAGAAGTATCTTGGATCTGAATGGACATTGTACGGCATTAAACGTCGCTTACGCGAGTTATCTCCGCTTTGATTTCTTGTCTTAAGGTAGTTCGTACCTGACTCCTTAGTCAATAAAGCATCATATTAATAATTGGTATTAAACACCCGCTAATACATTTTAATAATGTATAAAAATTACATCTATGAAATTGAATGACATTTCCATTGATCATTTATCATTATATTGTAAATAAAAAATATATTTTGGTTAGTCGTATAACTCCACTATGCTCGTTTCTGGGGTATGTTTGACAACGTTGTTTTCGCACGCATATCTATATACGTGGTGCGTGTTCAGTTTTCCCGCGTAGTAAATATTCAATATTCTTATATGTAAAGTTAATTATATTCTCATGCATTATAATTTAGAAAATTAGAATTCACTAAAACACAAAATAAGTGAAATATTTGTTAAATGTATTTGTATTTCACGGGTATGACCTTACTTCAGCAACGTTGCCAAGTCCTCCACATAGTCCCAATAACCTACATATCCTGGACTTTGTCAAATATCTTCCTAGAATGTTCGGCATGGTACAAGATTTAGTTCATTATCAGAAGCTCAGGATTTATACTTTCAGTGTCTAGTTTTTAGTTAGCATTTCTAACTTTTGTGAATAGAAAAGATTATACTTCCGGTAAGAAATCGTAAGACTGCCATAAGAGCTGTGTTGAAAACTCAATTTTTGACAAGCTTTTTCTTATTTATTTGATTGGCAACCAAGTCTCAAACTTTTTTTGTGTGTGTATTTAATTTTAATAAACAATCTGTATGAATTTTCTTTAATTAACTAATCTTTTGAATTTGGAAAATTCAAAATGTCTCGAAATGTGTGTTCTTTTACGCTTGACCGATTTTATAACCGCGCTGTATTTTGGCACGAAGTATAAACTGTTTTCAATAAACTCATTCTACATATGCAGTTATTACCGTTGAAGCTTTTGGGTGTAAGAAGTGTCCTGGTGGAATTATTCTCCCAACGTTTCGCAAACATTACAGCTAGCTTCATCAAGAGATCGAATGACACACTGATACTAGTGTGTGCCTTGTGGTGCTGCACTAATATACTGGAGCATGCTCATGTTCCGGTTCATTGATTACCATTTAAGACATTTTTAATTGGTCAGCTGACAACAGTAATAACTATATGATGCCAGGCCATGGAAACCTCAAATCTCTCATTCTATGCATGTCCATATTAGTTTTTATTTATCAATAAAAACAGGGTGTATTAATTATCTCTTATCCTCATTAAAATTTTAAATAAAACCCCTACTAAATAACCGAGTTTCCTGATATTTGAGGTACTATTAACATTAATTTTTAATTAATTGTTGCACTTGTCACTTTTCGAATAAAAATGTAAACAATGAAAAATAAGGGAAAATAATAACGGTCACATAAAATGTAGAAATAACGGTACTTACATTGAGAGTTCTTTCAAGTTTTCCTGATGATGTAGAGAAACAATAAAGTACAAGATCTTCACCAACGCAATAAATAAATTCACCACGTGGACTTACAACTGTACACACGAAGTCGCCACCCTCTCTTTTACCACTAGAAAATGACCTTACAATTTGACCTTGCATATTCATGATGACTACTGTATTTGAGCGATTGCATACAACAAAATGTTCTGGATTTCGAGGCAAGAGATGTATACTATTTACTGTTAAGTCTGCAGCACCTAAAGATTTATATGTGCCAATGCATTCTGTTGTTTTTAAACTCCATATCTTTACAGTTCCATCCGATGATGCACTTAATGAAATAAGTAACAAATTAATTAAACATTTTTCAACTAAAATTATTAACTATTAGATAAGAACTATACCTTATTACACTATGTCCATCTGGTGCAAAGACTACTTCGTTAACAAAAGAAGTATGTCCTCGAAATTCTTTTAATGTTTTTCCAGATTTAAGTCCATGTATCCTGCAATAGAAGTAAAACTGCAATACCAATGAAAACATAGTCACTTTTTATACATACCTTATAGTAGTATCAAATGATGTAGATAGAATCTGACTATTATCTCTACTAAATTGTAGGCATGTAACACCTTTTGAATGTGCCTTTTCAAATCTCCTTAAGCACTGTCCACTTTGTACCCTCCATACTTTTATTTTTCCATCCTGTCCACCACTAGCTAACATTTCACTATCACGACTAAAAGCCATTGACAAAACTGCTTGTTCCATCATCATAAAATTGTCTTGAGCTTGATACTTTAAATCTTTCCTGATTTTACCAGTTGTAAAATTCCATACTTCAATAAATCCATCAACAGAACCGGTAACTAAATATTGACCATCTGGTGAAAAACGTGCACATTCTACATGAGATTTTTGTCCAAATTTAATTTGTTTAGAAAGTTGCGTAGGATATTTTTCATCTTCTTGATCTCGTACAGCTGCTTTTCCTCTAAATAAATCTATTGTAGTACCAGGTGGAAGTAAACCCTGATGTTGTTGCCATTTCAATGCTTGTCCCAATAGTGCAAGTAATCTGCTTGAAGGTACTACTGATACTTCACCAGCAAGAGCCGCAGCTATATAAGCTCTTCGTTTTTCCTTTGTACTGCCATCAGGATATGCTTCACGAGGATCAAAATACGAGCGTGCAAGTAAATTTTCTGTATAACACGGTATAATATAATTATTTAGTAAAAATAATGTATTATAAAATAGGTTTTACAGTAGGATGAAATTATTATTCTAATTTGCTTCACCTAAATGAATATATCTTTCAGGTTCTTGTTGTTTCATCATAATCATAGGATCTGTTTGTCGTAATAATGATCTAGCTGCTCCCAGTTCTCTTAACTCAATTAATTCTAAAACAACCTATAAATTACAGATAAGACATACAGTTGCTCCGTTTAATTTGAAACGGTGTAGTATCTCACAAAGGATGAAAGTTATCAACAAAATTTTTGTACAAAAATTTGGTATAAAGAGGGACACTACATGGTATAAATAATTTTTCTGTTAATTTCTTTAAATGGAACCCTATATCATGATATGATAGCATTTGTTGAGACAAATACAACAACCTGCCACATCATATCATTCCATGTAGTAAAATCTAATAAATTAGATCCGAAGTAGTCAGATCAACACAGATCTTGTGTTGGCGGTCAGCTGATCCCTATGTGAATAGGCTATCAACATGTTGTTCCCTTCTTGATCAAATGTTCCTGGTATAGAAACAATGCTAATATTGTAGCAAATATGAGGAGTTAAACATAAATAATGCATTTTCATTTTCACTTACCACTATTTTACTTGCAGTAACAAGAATTAGTAATTTTGATTTTTTTTATCTTTTAGCACGCCCACCATCATTATGAATACACGTTTATATACTGTTTGAAAATTCTCCTTCGACACTTTTTAATATCTTGACTATTATTCTTTTGTATGCAACTGAAATTCTTCTTTATAAATCATTGACATTTTTAATTAGTGTGGTAAATCATTGCATTTGCCTCAACAAATGCTACCATATTTTGAATAAAACAATACAGATTTCCACTTGAAAAAATTAACTCTACTTTGATATGTGCCCCTAGTACAACACTTACAGAAAAATTACTTATATCATGTAATGTCTTCCTTTATATCAAACAATTATTCAATCCCTGAGATATTCCGTTTTCAGTTAAATGAGACACTCTGTTCTATATAATTTTATATCACTCTATTCCAACATTTATTTCATAATCAGGGTGTCATACCTGTTCATATAAATCGATAAGTTTTTTATCTGGTAATTTTAATGACTGTATTGCCTTTAACACTGTATCCCAGTGTCCATTATTTATGTCTGCCACAAAACCATCTACACTATCCACTGTATTAAGCGACACACCTGTTTCTTCCTATTAATGTAATAATACATTCATTTACTGTTATCATAAATATTGTATTAATATTATATAAATAAAAATTACATACTTGTAATGTTTGCAACGTTTTTACAAGATTAGATTCTTTAAGATACTGTTGTATTAGACGAATCACACTGAAAATACAGATTAAAATATGAATATTTAGAATAAATATAAAATACTCTATTCATAGACGTAACATAATTACTCAGCAGATTCAATTTCTATCGACATTATGTGAATGATCCGTTAGGAAAAATAATATCAAGTGTGATTATATGAATAAACGATGAAATGTTTTCAAGAACTCTTCTCAATAAATTTATTTAAAGTTGCAGACAGAATACACCAACCTCAATCACATACATTTTATTATGTTTGACCACAGACGTGGTATATTCATAGACATATGTACCCTCACGAGCAAACTCATCTTCCGCTAGGGGAAAAAGGGACGTGAAGAAGGATCTCCTGGGGCCTCCTACCATGCTCCTAGCTACCATAGACGACTCTAGTCACAGCCGACTCTAGTACTAGCCGTGCTGAAAAACGTGGCAACACCGCTCATGGCGCATTCAGGAGTCCTATTTTCAAAAATAGAGTTTTGTGCTCAGTGTTATAATTACTTGGTATATATTTTGTGGACACTCTGAATAGTTTAGTGTTGTGATGCATTATGTTTGAAATATTTACAGTGGTTTCAAGAAAATATAAGTGTGGAGCATGATAAAACCATCTTTGAATCAAATTGAAGCATTTAAAAATTGATAAAGGTATGTATATGTTAATAGAAACCTGAAATAGACAAAATTATTTGTACGATGCCAAACAGGGTAATTCGCTATTGTTAGAGAACAATTTATTATTTACAGTTTTCACATAATCATTTAATAAAATATTCGAAAAAATTGACAACAATTTTAACAAAATACAGTGGTAACTTTGACCACAAATGCATGTATCTGAAAATGCTAAATAATGTACATCTGATTGAATACTAATATATGTTAATTTACATAAAATATGTTTATCTATATCTATTTTTTTATTTTTTATTTGCCTTATTTGGTCTATTACTATTTCAAGATTTTTGGTATAAGAAAATTCAATTGATTCTGCAATAATATATGCCTTATTAACTTCTTCTAGAGATTTCCCAAGATGTTCTTCAATAAGACATATATTAGTGGTAAAATGTGGACTCTGTAATACTTTGTATCTACGTAATAAATTTTCAAGCTCAGACTACCTAGATAATTTCTTATCAATAGGCAGTACCCACTTTACATCATTGAATGAAACTTCATTGCTTTCTTGAAAAACTTGTAATTTCATGTTGTCACTAATCACAATCTGTGTATTTAGAATCAAAAAGTCAGAATTATCATTACATACGAGCATATAAACATAAACTTTTGAATTTGTTATTTTAGTAGTCTAACAGTTTGAAAGTACAAGCTTTTCTTTATAATTATTTATTAAATCCAAGAAATTACCAATTAAATATGTATAGTCATTAGTAAAACGTTTAGTCGACCACGTACAAAAGAACTTTACAGTGGTTCTGCAGTCTTATAGTGTAGCGTGTAACAGAATAGAATGGAATTGACTGCGAAACCAATGCAAAGTTTTTTGTACGTAGTTTGAGCCCAGCAGAAGGTTTTGAAAGTATTAGCTTCAAATTGCTTTTTCATTTAAACAAATTTTGATAAATATTAACAAAGTTATTTTGTGCACAAGTGAGGCAATAACTTTAGGCAGTAGTATACGTATGTAAGAACTAATAAGTGTTAACAATTCATATTTTTTGATTACCACTTCTGATAAATTACAAAACACATGTTATTAGACGCATTTAAAATAATAGTATAGTACTTCTAGAATACTATCATTAGGGTAGTGTGAAGTAGTAGAATTTATATAAATGTACAATATTTAGAATAATAAACCATATATAATTATAATACATTTATAATTTCTATAAAAATTACATATTATACCGAACAATTTATCCTAAAACCTACTGTGATTGTTTTCTATCCTTCGTGGGTCCTGTAGAATCACACTAAATAACAAATAGCATACATAAATTATTATATCAGTAATTAATATTCAGATACATTGAAAATTTACCAGTGTACAAGTACTTATCTGAGTAAGGTGGTGATGAATTTTAAATACACTTGTTGCAATTCCTGTGTGTCCTGAATTCTTTTGCATGATACTTTCCAAAGTGCTGTCCAGATTGGTTTTTCTGTCTTCTCCTGGCCTTATTTTTTATTCCTTCCTTTCAAGTAAAAAATATTGTTTTATGCCATCTACAAATGACTGAATATGAGATGGTGCTGTTGCACTATGATGTGTTAATCTTTGAACTAAATATGTTAATTCATTCATATTATTTTTATCATGATTTTTTCGATCAACTGTTTCTTCTTGTTCTTTGTCACCTTTATTTCTTTGAAAATCTGATACAGGTCCTGTAATAATTGTCTCCCATGCACTTTTTATATTCTCTGCAGTTATTTCTCCCCATGATTCTGCTAACATTTGTATGCAATCTTTAATATTATACTGCTTACAAAATTCATTGAACCCACCGTCATACCTCAAAATCCTTTGTCGCATTTTGTGACGATAACCTTTCTTAGTCTTTTTTGTTACTTTGTGATACATGGGCCGTAGTAATAATGATGTATTCAGTGGTACATACATAATTTCAAAATCTTCTTTCATATCTGTTGGAACTTCATATTCCTTGCAATTGTTTAATAATAAAATAACTTTACCAAATATTTGTTTATGTGCTTGGAATGCCCTTACATTTGGCTTAAACTGATTCTGGAACCAATCCAGAAATAATGATTGATTCATGCAGCCATTTGCCTGTGATTTCAAAATGATTGGAGCATTGGTTTTAGGTTTTGGTTTCTTGGATTTGTTAATTACTAAGGGTGTGATTTTATTCGTGCCTGATACATTTGCACATAATATCATTCTTATGCGCCCTTTGTGATTCGTATAGCACCTAATGCTCTTTTTTTTGCTCCTTTTCTGCATTTTATAGTCACTAATGTGTTTTTCTTTGATGTCTGCAAGCATCTGTGTGGGAAGAGCTTTCCATAGAAGCCGGCTTTCATCCATGTTGTAAATATTTTCTACATCTATCTTCTCTCCTTCTATTAATTTTTTAAAATTCTCTATAAATATCTTCGCTTCATTCCTGTCAACACTAGATCTTTTTCTATGGACTTCTTGTTTAATATGGACTTTTTGTTTTGTATTGACATCGTTGCGTTTTTTAAATTTCATAAGCCAATATTTGGTCAATTTGTAATCTGAATATGATGCGGTATTCTTTTTTATTTCGGCAGCTTTTTCTAAAATTGTAGCATCTGATAGGGTATCACCATGTGCCCTTCTTTCTGCAATCCATGTCAGCATACGGCGGTCCAGTTCTTCATACATTCGTTTTGTAAATCTTCGCCGTTTCTTCTGTTCTTCATTCTTTTCTGCAAATTCACTCATAGATGCAGCGTTTCTTCTTACCAAATCAACCATTTTCGGGTGTATATTATCACGGCCTGTTAACTCCCATTAGAATAGTATGGTTAGTCATAAGAAGTCATAAGTTGCTGGCCCTTATCACCAATGGTACTAAAGTCGCATTTTTCGAGCATATACTTCGATGTAGTAGTGATGGGCACCATCGATTAAATAAAACTATCGACTAACGATTATTTAGTCGCAACATACTATCGACTATTTAGTCGACTGAAATTATGCTTTAGTGGTTATGTATAGATTATAATATTATATAGTCAGATTTTCATGGCACCATTGGTATATTTACGTTTTGAAAATTTATTAGTTCATAGATAGAATTTCAAAAATATAAGTGGTAAACAAGTTCTTTTAAACAATTACTAATATTCGATTTTTCGTAAGCTATTTGATATTGGCACTTGAAAAATTAACTGCTCTAAATTTTTTGTGAAAATCAATTAGGTTATAAGCAGTAATTTGCACAGTTCTTGGAAAAATTCTTTAAAATCAAATAAGTGTTGTCACAATAGCAGGTATTTAAAATTATAGGATTATTTAATTTTTTATACATACCAAATTTTATTCATAGTTGTTAATGTTGTCATTTCGTCTTTCTCTTAGGACAGATATAAATATTGCTATATGATATTAAGAATATCATCTAAACAAATATTACACAATTACCTGCTATTGTGATCTATGTTATTCCACATTACAATTTTAAAAAATGAGTTGATCTAAATTTTTTGACGATGGTCTATTTCTTCTTTCTGACATAATCTGTCCAGCTTTGGAAAATATCCGTTCTGATCCGCAAAAGAAAGGAGCTTTTCCGGACAAGTAGTCGACGATTGAAAAAATTAGTCTACTGAAAGTAGTCGTTGGTTACTATCAACTTAGTCGATAGTTTTTAGTCGATGGTGCCCATCACTACAGTCAGTTTAACATTTATTTCAGTACTCGACAAGCAACCAAATTTGCGCGTTTGAACGTTTGAGGGTAAAAGCGATGTATTTTATTGCCAGTGAAATGAGTAATAAACACAATTGGTCACCAGTCTGTCAACAGCCAGCGTGATCGGTGATTGTTCAGTGGCGCCATCGTCGCCCATTGAATGATTGGCGAAACAATCTCCCCCACTATAGCATCACGTAGGGACGCCGACTCTGCACGATTGCGCGGAAACCGTCACATAAGTCTGTCCTTCTTGCACTTGCGGTTGTACTCTTTTACGGCGCATCCCCGTCTTGACGATGTTTCAGGGGTCCCTGATTTCATTGAGCTAATCTCTAGTTTCCACTACAGCCGTGGATAATCCCCCATCAACAGCCCCATTAGAAAGAGAGGAAAGTTACTCCAGTTATTGTCCTCTCTTTCTAATGCCGACTTCATCCCTACTACAAGACCGCACAGTCTATTGTCTATGATGTCCAATGATGTCTGTCTGATCGTGTCTACGGTCAACCCCCTGGGTTGAACTACGTCTGTTAAAAAATGTCTGCATTGTTATTTTATACTGTGTGTTATATTTTAATATCAGGATGTATTGTGTATCCTCCTACAGAATTTGTGTCAGCTGGGTTAACTATAAAAGACATATTTTCAAATTGGCTAGGAAGTGAAAATGAGTTTTTTATACAATATCACATAAGAAGAAGTATAATTACATTATTTACACATTCCATACTTCCATTCGGTAACTATATCACATTTCTTTATGATTTTAAACATTATGACTATATCATTCTCAAATAAATTTTACTCTTATCCAGGTTATGCTGTTGGTTTAATTCTATTTGGACATGTGGAAACTATAATATTATTGTTAGGCTGTCATAATTTATGGTTAATATTTTTTACTTGTACAATTCTTCTACCATTGTATACATTGTATAAAATCTTAGTGTGGTCTATGAATAACTGGATTAAACATCCTATTGTACAAAATCTTACAATTTATTGTAACAGTAACAATAATGATAATAATATGACTTGGACTACAGTAGCATCTGATATCAACATTGAGTATCGAAGGTTGTGGTTTAATTAAAAAGATTCATTCAAAATATGATTTTATTTGAAGAAATATAAAACAACTAAAATTTAATTTCAGTATAGGTAAAATTGTAATGAGTACAAATAATATATTATATGTAATAGTAACAGACAATTGGATAATTAAAGTAACGCTATATAAAATATTAGTTGCACATCAAAATGATACAGTTTTAGTAGTTACCAAAAGTGATACTCATGACATGTCACCTGTGACAAGAGGAGAAATTGATTTTATTAACATTGAGGTACCTTTTATATAATTTATACTAAAGTTATTTAAAAATAGTAGTTACTACAGATATTTTATTATTATCTGATAATTCTACAATTAAAATATTCAATATATGTGCGTAATCATTGGGAATTTAGTATATCATATACCAGTGGTGGCCAAACCTTGTCCGGATAGGAGTCATATATCACCTATCATAAATATTCTATAGTCGCATCTTCTATTGGAACAGTATTAAATTATGAGTTATGCTTATAGTCTATGTGTACATCACACTGCACAAAAAACTTACAAAAATATCATATTACATACATGTATGTAGTATGTGTCAAGTTTATAAAAAAATATTGTGTAAGTACATGGGAGCCGCAGTAAGAGTCTAAAATAGCCATGTGTAGCTTAACAGCCGCAGTTTGGCCACCATGGTAATATACCATTGTAATAATATTTTATTTTCATTAATTGCAAAAATATTTGTTATATAGGTAAAATTGACAAGAACTGGATCACAATCTTTTGATATAAGATTAAATGCTTTGGATTTCAAAAATTTACAAGATAAAGTTTTATGTCCTATTACTATATTACAAAATGTCACATTCCATAAAACCTTACTTGATAGATTCATTGATAATTTTAAAGAACAAATTGAAGAAAATCCACTTTATGAAAGTACAGATGTATGTTCTAATACATAAATTTATTTTTACTTTGTTCTATAATCTTATTTCTCAAAGTATATTACATTTATATATATACGTTTTAAGGAATTAGGTCAATGTATTGGATGTATGCATGCTTCATCAAATATAAAATTATTTAAACAGTGCACTAGTGATTTAGGAAATGGTAATTCTGAAGACTGTGTGATGTGTTATTGTCGCCCAATGTGGTGCACAGATTGTATGGCAAAATGGTAAATATATATATTATTTAATAAGATTTTTCAATGAATTTAAATGACCATGTTATAGTTAATATTTTGTTCGAAAAAACTTCCTGGTTTTGTAAATAGTTGAGAGAAAAAATACTTATTCGTTCTTATATTTGTTTTGTGTTGAAATTATATAATTTTTCAAACATAGTTTCCTACAATAAGTAGTACAGTTATTATTAATATTAATGATATTTCGTTTGCTGTTAATATTTATTATTGATAGAAACAATGGTACACTTCAAATACTTTATATAATATTTTCATTATGAATATGTTGTTACAGGTTTGCATCAAGGCAAGATGAAAATGCTCCAGAAACATGGTTATCTTCTAAATGTACTTGTCCTGTATGCAGAGCACGATTTTGTATTTTAGATGTATGTCTCATACAACCTATTTGAATATAACAGGTATTCTGTCCCAGAATTATGATATCATATATATTCTTAATCATAAATTGTAAATAGATCTTGAGGAAATCATGAACAAGACATGAGTAAATAAAGATTCACGCACTAAGTATCATGCACTTCCTCAAATCTTTCTAAAAATCCATAAAAGTGACTTCATTACAATATTTTTTTTACTGCACAAATTTAGCAAGACTTTAATAAATAGGTACATGCATGCAATTAAAAATACATTTCCTAACATTTACCTGGTTTTTCTTTTATTTCATTCTGTTTCATTAAAGATATACAAAAATACAGGAAAAATTGAATAGTATAGCAAGACCTATTAGCTACACAATTAAATTTTTTTTTATAGTTATTTATTATATAATTCGATTGTCCTTTACAAAGTTTAAAGTATCCTTTAAACTTCATAAAGGACAATCCTCGAGGAGTACTTCATGTTTACAGTATTTAAAAATTGTACAAATCTGAAATGAAGAACATACAGAAATAGCTAACATCTATAATACTTCAAGAATGTATTCAGACATCTGAGTAAAAAATTGCAGATGACTCGTAAACAATTGATTTTTTAAAACATTTGATTGTAATATTTCTATATATAAAATGTTCAATGAAATTATATACATCCAGTAGCTTACAAAAGTATTCAAATGTTTGCATTCACGACTTTTAACATGTGAATTATGTCTGTTAAACTAAGGTGTTTAAAACAATACGAGAGCTATAGCATGGGGGAAGTCTTAAGATTATGTGTAGTGGGTGGTGAAATAATTATACACATTCTGTGTGTGCATATTATGGTGTAAAAAAAATGTTACAGATCTCTGAAATGGGAAACTTGTAAGGCGCTTGGAACAAGTTTTTCCTTAGCAAAAATGTTATCCGAGCCGAGCCTATGTTAACGAGATATTAATGAAAAATCCGACCAATTAGAACGTGAGTCTGCCGGTCGAGTTCCCCCGATAGCGCTGGCTCCTCAGCGCTGAGCTTGTACTACAAACAAGCAAGATGGACATGTATCGAAGGAAATCACGTAGAATAGCAAATGAAAAGGACGAAACAAATAAAGTTGAACTTATTGTCATTTTTTGTTTGTCATTTAAGGTGAATAATGAACAAAGGATAAATGAAGGAAAATCATATGTACCGTACAATGACGGATACAGTGTTTTTTTTTTAAACAGCCCTGTCATCCAAACTTGCAATGTCAAATTTAGTGCAACGCTTGATGTCACACATTTACGCAAGTTGCACGCAACTGCGTAGGATAGTTGACATTGAGGTAGATCATGGATATAGACAGCGGGCAACACGGTCACGTGGTACTCTGAGCCATATTGACGATTGGTTATGATCGCGTAAGCGCATGGCGCAATCTTGTTTTCATTGGGTCTTATTTGATCTATTACTATTTCAAGATTTGTGGTATATGCAAATTCAATTGATTCTGCAATAATATATGCTTTATTAACTTCTTCTGGAGATTTCTCAAGATGTTTTTCAATAAGACATATATTAGTTGTAGAATGTAGACTTTGTAATACTTTGTATCTACGTAATAAATTTTCAAGCTCAGACCACCTAGATAATTTCTTATCAATAGGCAGTACCCACTTTAAATCATTGAATGAAACTTCATTGCTTTCTTGAGAAACTTGTAATTTCATGATGTCACTAATCACAATCTGTGTATTTAGAATAAAAAATTCAGAATTATCATTACATATGAGCATACAAAAATAAATTTTTGAATTTGTTATTTTAGTAGTCCAACAGTTTGAAAGTACAAGCTTTTCTTCATAATTATTTATTAAATCCGAGAAATTACTAATTAATTATGAATTAATAAATTCTTGGACTAAGTTTTCATTCCTTTCAATCATTTCTTGATTTCGCTCTACAGGATCTTTTCTTGGTGATAGCACATGTTTTACAAAGTAAGAAGGGGAGGAAATGGGGAAAATGAATGGTACTGCATTCACTGTAAGTCTTGGACATCTCAACAAAACATTCTCCAGTACACCATTGGGTGATAGAATACCTTGAACCTTGGTACCTTTGAATATCACTTTCTGCAAAATGCAGACTGCGAACGGCAGAATATTTTGTTGGTGTCCAACTTTTACGAGGAATAGCAGCCATCTATTTTTGCCGCAATTTCTCATCTTTGGGGAAGAAAAATATAGATATATAATTACTATCTTTTCAAGTGCTATCATAATTTCCCTTACAATTGGGAACACAGCAACGCCGTGGCATTATTAATAAACATATGAAAATTATAAACAAAAATATATGTAAAACAAAATTTCCAAAAAGGCTATAGATATTATTAAATAAGTATGCTACACACAAAAGAATGATATGTAGAGTTAATTATAAATAAATAAAATTTACCTGGATTATTGTACCGATTCTTTCATTCGGAGGCTTACAATAATCTAAACATTTGAAGGACAGGCGGGAAACTGAGAGGCCGGTAGAGGGAGACTGAGTAGCCGGGAGGCCGGTGAAAGCGAGAGACCTGGGAGGCTGATATGGTAGATTGGATTGGGTATATTCAAGCCGGACTCTCGCGTCATTGCTATTTTTACCTTCAGCACCGTTGAGTGATTTCACTAGATTCGTTACCGCTCACCCAATAGGATGTAGCGTTCAGAGTGAAATCTAGTGAAATCTCTCAACTGTTGCGTAACGGTTGTGTCTTCTGAATGCAGCCATTGGTACATGTCATCTATTGCCTGAAGTATAACGTTAAATATTTATTATTGTCGAGTTTTGTACTACATATAGCCACATAAATGAATATTACTTGACAACTGTAAGTGTCTCTTGCAGAAAGGAACTAAACATAACCATAGCCTCGAAATTGTTAGTTCATTTGACCCATTACAATTTTTCAATATCTTATCTAGAAAAAGTATGCTGCTTTATTATTCCCATTGGCATGAAGAGAACCCACACATATTTGTTATCCAAAATAGAACGTCTATAGTTAATGCAGTAATAAGCAATTGGTTCGCAGATTCATTCTTATGTCGCACGCACGGTTCAACAGTGTTTGTTCTCTGTGGTTCTCTGCTCTGAGTTTGAAGCTGGGACGCCAACTGGTGGCAAGAATCGTCACTACTTTTTCAGGCGAATCGATATTCTGCTCAAATATTGACTTCGCGATTGTGAGTGGTGTCGTAAGCGAGTCGTGCAGTAGACGGCGATGCTCTTTTAAAAAGGGAGTTCTTAGAAGTGTTAAGTCAAGTGCTGTTAGTCGGCGAACTGATAATCGGACTATCCTGGTGACAGGAATTAAGGAAGATGCTGCTGGCGGCTAGTGCTGTGCTTTTCGGGTTGACCCTCGGTCTCTCCCACGCGAGCATCCCAGCCCTCGACTCGACTCCAAGTTCCTTCAACAATCATGGAGGTGATTTCATTTCTCTTTTCTCATGCCCTACATTTACCTGGTAGGTTTACGAACCTCTTTCGTTTTCGAACAATTATGCATATTAAATTCCTTCCGTTTGTATTGTCAAATCGTGCCTCATTTTCTTGTATATAGCTGGTCAAGTGGGTAACTTGCAGGTGCAATTCTTCTTTTGGGAGCACCTGCAGTCACCGAAACTGTTATGGCGAATTCATTGACTAGTCCCAATAGGTGCTCCGATACGTGTTTGTATTGCACCCGAATCGGATAGTGTCATGAACTCAAAAAATAAATTTCAGAGAGATATAAGCACCGATGATGTATTATTATTATACTTTACGGCATCAGTAGTCACGTTTTGTTACGATAACAAAATGGGTATCAATTAGATCGGATTTACTGTCATTTAGAACAGGGTCCATTAACATTAGGGGATTGTAGGGACGTTTTATGATGCTGTCTGTTGTATACAGTAATTAAAATGTTTATTATTTACAATTTTCTATACTACTCTTAATAATATTCAGTTACGATAATATCTTTAACTGTTTTCTTGTTGTTCGAATCTTATTGAAAAATAGATTACAATACACGACATTTTGATTAACATTCGCGTATATTTTGTCGAACAAGACATTTGAAACAACTATTACTTTTCATTATAATTTCTACAAATTTAGTAGCATTATCTGAAGTGTATGTAAAATTTATTTGTTTAGTATTAAAATTTTGTCATGCGTAGTTATAATTATTTTATTTTCGTATACTATAAATACCCATAATCACCGTCTATGACTGTCAGAACGAACATACAGAAAATATTATTTTATCTATTTGAGCCATAAAAATATTAGTGTGTTAAGTAATTAGAGTATAGTAAATAATAATTAAAGAGCCATAAAATAAAAATATCGATAAGCAATGCTTTACTCACTTTTCTTTTATTTGCATTAATACATGCGATATAGTTATTATAATATAATTAAATATGTTTTTAAGTTACGCTTCATAGTTCGTATTGTCTTTCAATGATAATGTTTTGTATTATAATTTCTTTTTCTGTTCCTTGTTACAGAACTTAAAGAAGAAAATCGTTTCAGTATTGTTTGATTTCATTTTCTTTACTGAGTGATACAAACTGCGAAAAAATAACAATTCGTTAGCCACATAGACGCCGTTCATATAAACAATAACACTTAATTCCGATATTTTTAAATGTTCCTTTTGTTACGAAACTAAATTACAAAATTCTCGTTACAAGAAAACAATTGCGTTTCTGTTTACTCTTTCGTGGATTATGTTGGATTTATTATTTTTATATATTTGGGTATACATACATATATATATATAGTTCGTACCAAAACAACAGTGGAATAAGTGAGAATTTTATGTTCGTCAGTGCATTATATTTATAATACTCATCGTAACCAATTGATCGAGAAATTCGAACTATAAAGACAGTTATGTAGCGTATGAAAAGGATAATAAAAATTGACAATTGTTGTCAATATTTCTAGAAACATTGAATCAAGGCTTAATCGGACATACGCTTCAATTGTCGTTTATATATTCCAATATTATACGGATTATCGGGTGATCTGTGATCAGAGATGAAGAATTATTTCGATATTCATGATGATTTATAGTGATTGATACCTGTTTAATATGTGTACCGCCATCATTCCGTGGGTTAGGTCTGGGTTAGGTAAAACAAATCACATATAATCCACGCGACATAATGATTTTGTTATTCACAGCTGCAATATTCATTAATATTTTGTAGATACTGATCACACATTTTTCACATTCTATATAAAAATCTCAGTTTTTAAAATCACAGAGGTGAAAAAACGCGTTAAAGTGTAAACATAAAGAATTGAACTAGTATTCGTAAATGAACCCTTTCAACATTGGCGTAACTAGAATTTTTTCTAGGGGCCAGATCCCCTGACATTCGCCCAAGCACTCCCCACCAGGCACCTGTACGTATTTTATATCACGTACGTGGGATGCACAAAATAAAGTTACACATTTTGCAATAATTATTTACACGTTTATTTAACAGAAAACTAAGAAACGAAGAATATAAACATCATTCTGAAAAATAAAAGAAATTTGAGATTGATTAAAATCAAGAGTATATTATGTGCAGATACCTATAATTAAAATGTATCATATATAAGCTTGAATTTGCTGGTTTTTGTTTGCAAAAATATTTTTCACATTATTAGTTAAGTTAGGTATTTTTTTCTACTTAATTGCGTTACGTATTGCATTTCGGCTCAAGTATTTATTTTTTATAACATAAGATTTTACCAACTGACGAATGTTTTTTTTACATATTTCTATAATTTCTGAGCGGGGGGGGGGCAGTCCGTATTCTGGGGGGCCAGGACCACCGTGGCCCCTACCTAGTTACGCGAATACCTGTCAGACATATTATCAGGGGAAACAAACATTTGGCATATGTATTATACACAATTATATTATAAAAGTACGAAGCGTTCGTAAAAATGTTTACTATCGTGTTTTAATTCTTAATCTTCCGCTCTTGTATTCCCATTAGTTTTACGTACAATGTTTCACTCGTACAGTAAGCAGTTATTAACCTATTACATTAAAAGAGAAATTTAATTAAATGTATTGTAATCAGTGACAAAAGTAGCAGGAAAATTAAATCTTTTAGTCAAATTTGTAGTCGGTATTGTTCAAATGTAATTTATCATAATCTATGATATTAATTGTATATATTATTTAAGATAATATAATATATAATTCGATTTATAATAATAATGATTATAGTCTCATAACTAATGTGACACATTCGTTACAAATTTGACGGTCTGGTTCAACGATGACACTCAATTACTTATTGTTAGAAATGGTAAAATCAGTAATTATGTAGCATATCAAAGTTTAAAATATAAACTTAATTGAGTGTCCCTACTTTTTGAAAACTTCTCAATTTCGGTAGGGGCAGAGTGGGTTAGCCCTGGACACTTCCATGAAACAGAAAAACAACATATAATCAATAAATTGTAATCATATAACTCTTTCAGAATACAAATATAAAAACTTTCTGATTCATTATAAATAAAGAAAATAGAGCGTATCCTCACATACATGGCAGTAATAATATAAATTTGATAAATCAATATTTGCACATTCTTCATGTGTCCAGTCTTTGCATATATTGCATTGATTGAACATGTAACAATACTTAAATTTAATAGACAACAAGGATCGATGAAATTCAATGGCCTCGGTAATGTCACTTTTAGCGGGAAGAAAACTGATTATAATATCTAATTCGCTTGGCGTGCACGCTACAATTAACTTGCAATCTGGGCCAGCCAGACATATTATAATTTACCGTTTATTTTTCTATATGGCTCTACAATTAGTAACGAAGATACTGAAAAGTCATTGTACATTGGATAACGCTAATGCCGGCGACACGTAAACTTTGAGTGTTAATAACTCAACAAAATATTGCGTAAAATACAAGTGTATGTAGTGTTTTGAATATATCTCGATATCAGTTATAGGAATATATGATACAAAATGTAGGGTTCAATTCAAAAATTCAGAGGTGACCTTTACATCACATTCCAAGGTTACCTCAAGGTCAAACAATTATCTTCAAAATACATCCCCCTCAATATCATATAACTTTCATCTGAAACATTTTTTCGTATTTCTGATACCTACAGAAATAATCAAGTGTAGACATTTAAAACGGACATACTGTACATATGTTTTTATGTATTTTATATTGTATATTGTAGTATTTGCGTATTACATAATTAACTGTATAATATTTACTCGTCGATACAGCTCAAATTGGCGTTTCGTAAAAACAGTGTTTCTAACGCTATCAATTTTTGCTACTTTTCATTTTGTGCCATTTGTTGGTTTTACTGTTGAAAAGGTTACCTGCTCTTTGGATCATTGTGCAGAAAAAATTAGTTTTACCCTAGTATTACAGTGTTTAATTCAAAGGGAAAAATCAAATAGCGGAATTAAATTTTTGGTCGTTTTGGAATATTTCGAAAGCAGTTTCATTTTCTAAATAGGACAGTATACATTATACATACATACTTCTATTAAGCTTCTGTAATAATGAGATTTCTAGACCCGCTTTAATGAAGCACTTTTTGATCAGCCATGTATGAAATCTCGGTCGTGTATAATAAATTTCTCGCGGAATTCATTTTGTGCTGTGTCCGCAGTAATTCGGATAATACCGAATAGTTTCAGCGTTGCAGAAAGAAATATAATTCTGTAGCGTGTCTATTTAATCACGCGGTGGTTAAATAGGGTTGACAAATATTTAATACCTGCGCGAAACTTAAATGTTGATAGCAATCAAAATTATATTGTAAAGAAAGTAGTACTTAAAGGTTTGGATCACTTGTGATTTAGATAGCGGATTTTATGCATTCATAGCCTATAGGGCTCTGTGAAATACAATATAAAACAAAACTTTCATTGGATCAAACGAATTTTCTGTGTTTAAAAATTATTTTAGAAACTTTTATTTTGCATAAAAGTCCACAGTCTACTTATGATATTTAGCATTAAAAAAAATACAATTCTGCGTTTCATGTCAGCGATAATGTGAGCAATTACATTACAAGTAAAAAATATCTTTCACCGTGGTAATAGTATGAAAAACATATATGCATAAGTTAGAAGACCATTAGTGTATTTTTACATAAGTGTAATAATTCTAGTGATATATAAAAGTTCATCTACAGTTCTTACACAGTGTGTTGTCAGCCAACGAAAAATAATTGAAAAATCGTGTCAATTCTTTGTAAAGGCATTCAGTTCCATTTAATAAAATACTACCGACTTTTATAATACTAAAAAGAAAAGATCTTTTGGTGAATATATCTGTTGCATTTTATTTCGCTTGAAACCACGTAATATGGGTAATATTTACTTTATTAACATTCGTTTAAAGTCATCTAACTATTTATGTATTTTTCATTAAA